AGGAAACTTTCTTATTTGGGAAATAATTTGAGAGTGAGGCCCTTGGCCCTTTAAAGTTTCGTATTTCTCCATAAGATTAACATGGGAAACAAACATAGTTATGAAACTCTAGTTGATGTCAGAAATATAAAGTGAGAAGAAGAACACATGTTAATTAACAGTCATTGTGTAAATTATCTAGAAGATAAACATGGACAACTTAATGCGGCTGTATGTGGGAAAATCTTTTGGAAAACACTAAAAACGAGATCAGCTTTAAAAAAAATATAAGATACAGTATTTACAAAAAAAGTTGATTACATTAACCTTTTATGAACATCGTGAGTATTTCCATTAGTTAAATAATCATTGAGTAATTTGAGTTGACTCTTTTAAACTCATTGGAAATTATGACTGTCATTTGTTTTCAAGCTGAAATACTTTGCAATTGCTCGATTTCGAGCAACATGTACACTAGCTGTGAATAAATAGCCTATAGATGATAATAATGAGAGGAATATCAAAAGTAACTATAATAAGAATATAGTACATGCGAATACTTGGACAATGAAAGGACTAAGAGTAACGCGATATAAAAAGTAAATAGTTGAATCAATAATGAAAAACAATAATGATGATAAATATTTTTATGAAAACAATGAATTTAATAACAGTAACAATTATAAATATTTGAAGTGAATAAGCATGGAGACAAGTAAATACAAAAAGAGAAAACTGTACATGTAATGGACGTTTATATTTAACCACCCCAGGTATTTTTTCTCTTCTGTATACTGTAAAAATGGTCAAAACTGTCTGGAGCTAAAGTACAATATGTCAATTGAACGGCAATTTTTAGAGGAAAACTAACGGGGTAGGCTATGCAGTTAACAATATTATGACCACATATATAAGTTCGGTAAGTTTGGATAAACTTCACAAGTCCGATGGAATCAGTAGAGACCTTGAATTATTAAACATCTAATCACTTAAGTGAGTCGATCTCGGGCCTAGACTACTTGGGATGCTATGAAAAAACTCTGAAAAAGCTACGTAATCTTAATAATACAATCAAAGATAGTGTATGATATAACGTACGATCGTTTAAAATGTGCAATTGAATTCAACTATAAATGTTAACGTATTTTCAGATATTTTTTACTGAAGACGAGTCCAAGGCAGAACAGAGCGACTCCAACATTGGACGTGATAGAGAAAAGTTGGTGTCTTGAGACCTCTTCTTCTGTTTAGATATCTTTTGCCTTTTACTTACACTCATTGGGACACCCTGGAGTGTTATTTTTCTAGTTTCCTTTAGTTAGCGAACACTTCTCATACAAAGTAGATGGTGGTAAAACAGCTGATAAAATAATATCAGTATCCTACATGAAATAAGATTTCTGAAAAGTTTTGATTTGTTTGAAACACAATAAATTCACGAAAATAACTTATGAATGTTAGTCTATGTAATTCAGCTTAATTTGACTTTTAAATTATATAACCGATCATTTAGGTCTTGTAATGATACAGTTACGAAACAAATTAAATGTCAATAGCGATTTAGTATGATACATATTTCATAAAAACTCATCAATTACATTTACAACTATTTGATTCAAGAGAAGATCCTTCTCAAAATTAACATGTATTTCATAATTACACGAAGATAAGTATTGGATTTACTTTATAAATCTTAGTAAAACGCTCAGGGTACAAAAAAAGAGCACCTTTAATACACATATCAATGTTTTAAATTGGCTCTTGATTAAAATAATTTGAAACCATAGGTTTTAAAGCTTTCTAAGGTGATTGAAGCGGTAGAAGTGTGGAATTATTTATTTAACTGCTCTCGCCCCAAAGGAACTGGAAACTTCTTAATGAATTAGATCTTTTATGTAAGTGATATCGCGTCATCAGTTTTAAATCTGTAACATTTTTACAAGTCTTATATAAATGAAGACCGATAAAAATAACAAACGTATTTTAAAGCTCATGGTAAACGTAAGTGATTTTAAAACTATAACCCTAATAAATATCTTCCTTTTATAAATAATGACTTCTTATAAATTTAATTAAAATAATACGCAAAATCTTTTTTAAATCCTACAATTTTTCTTCATCTAGTGGTTGTGTAACAGCAATTTAGTAATAAAAAATGTAAAATATTTGTAAACTAGTTTGATATTTTTTTAACTAAAGGAGTTTTGATATCATATTTTATATATTGATTTTAATATATATTATTTTATTATTACTTCACAACCAAGTAAACTTAGGGCTTTCAAATAAACTCGTTTAGTATTATCAAGACAATAATTAAAATAATCAAAATATATATATTTTTTGATAGAATAGGTACAATTTTTGCTCATATGTTTAGAAACATGTTTAGAAATTACTCACTAAACACTATATACACAAATATATATATACCTAAATTAATTTTCTGACCATACTTTCTATTAATTTTAAACATGAATTTGTTCAGCTCCTTCACAGATCATCCCATCCTTCTTTAAAACCAATGCCCGAAGTTATTTTGTAGTTCCTCTTTACACAACACACAAACATGTGTTTTAGACCTTATTTGTAATTTACAAAGTTTCCTGTTCGACCGTAAACCAGCAAAGTACCGTACTGTACGTGACCCGTTCTGATACTTGTTTGTGGACCTCAGACAAACTTGAGCACTCTGCTGTATTGTTCCGACAGTCTACTTTCAGATTCAAATAATAAGGTGTTGCAAATCAAACCACACGATGAGGGTTTAACTCACAAATTTTCCATTTTTTCTTACATCTAAATTTGATTTAGTAAGGACTGGGTATAATGGTTGCAATCGTTTCTTAAACTCATTTCCTTGCTTTGCAGATAAAGGTAGACTGTTGGAGAGGTATTACTAAAATATGCTGGTCCCACGAGTAATTATACTCTTATTCCAAAAAAGGATTGTTTATTCAAACCAGCAGAAGTATATAAACAAATTTTATTATGTTTATTTAAGGATTTTGTACTAACTGATTCTAGGCCAAAGTGACATTTAACTACATAGAACACAACATATACAAACAAAGACACATTACATACTCATAACTTTGTTTCTTCAATTAGATTAGGACAAAAACCACACAATATAATACATACAACTTTGTTTGCTAGCACTATTACAACACTCTAAAACACACACCAATCCGACAAGGCCACAATTCACAAATAATTATTTTTTGGGGTAGAATAGGAGAAAGAAAGCGTTTTTACAATTGTATTTATTATGCTTATGAAAAAAAAATGTGCATTTTCAGTGCGAGGTTATGTTCAACCATTGACTAAGTCCATTATATACAAGCCACAATCACGACAAGAGCAACTCTTTTTTTCTATCAGGCTAAAAGACACTGTCACTCACTCCACTACCACTACCACACAACATAAACTCAAATCCAATGACAACGAAAGATTACAGTCATCAATATAGGAAGAATTCCGTTGGTTATAGGAGTTTCGTTCCTACTTCTTTATATGTTATTGTTATTGTTTAATGTTACACTTCTTTTTAATGCTTTTAGAATTAAGTCTTGCTGCCAAAGTACTCTTGTTGTAAACAAGTGCCTACCAAAAACCGCCTTAGAACTAGTATTAAGACTTTAAAAAATACTGTAAACTTTGTCTGTCATTTTTTTCTATTAGTCCTCGCTGATAAGTTTTGTAAACTTGGCTAGGCCTTGCATGTAATATCTTGAATAAATATATTTGAATTTGAGTTTGAATTTGAACTCAAAGATTTTATTAAATTTAAAACCCACGTGCAACAACGTATATTTCCAACAACCTCAGTTGTTGGTGATCCTCAGAACTCCCGCTAAACCACAAACATTGCTCTTTGGTTAGTTACCACCCAGCCATCACTCCTTGCCTTCTCCACTCCCTGTGGGTTTTGTGTACGTTATAAATGGCTTAAAGAGAAAATAATTCATATTTGAAACAATAACAATTATACTTACCATTATCTTCGTAACATTTTATTCCGGTCCTATATTTGTAATAAATATATGCAGTATGTAATACCAGCGTATCCAAATGTAGTCGTATATATTTCTTTTTGATTTCACAGTTTAATAATAGTTTTTTAAACAGGATACATATATTCATAAGAATAATATTTGCTACAGTAAAGAAAATATACTTTTATACCAAATGTATACAACCATGAACAAGACGGGTAACGTAAACAAAAATTGTGTATCGTCAAAATAATTTGACGATAAATAATTGATTATTAATTAATACAATTAAAATAATTAATTGTCGATTAATGTTAAATTACAATATGATTTATACCAAAATATACATGCATTAGGAATTTTTTATAGCATGTCACCGTCGGTAACACTAAAAATTTATTTCTTTATTTGAATTTATGAATCTAATAATTGACTATAAAAGATAAAAAAGTTCTTTACATGATCTAAGTTTTAGTCATATCAAAAATCATATTAAAAATCAAAATTTCAAAAAAATGGAAAAAAACACTTGGAGATACCATGGATTAGAACCTACATACCAAATTTCATCGAAATCGGACCACAGGTGTAGTCTCTAGCTCTGTACACATCCAGACACGCACACACACACGCACACAGACATCACTTCGAAAACCACTTTTTTTGGTCCAGGGGGACCCAAAACGATTATATCCACTCAAAACTCAATCTCGAAAATTTTGACGAAAACAATACTTTCTCCATATACAAAGAGGAGGGGAGAAAGGTATAGAGAGGTATAGGAGAGGTATAGGGGGAGAAAGTAAAAACCAGCATACATATCTTGTGTAGGGAATCCATTATCACTCCAAGCAAAGAGTATCTTTGATTGATATACTGCTGCGCTTTTGTTTAACATTTTAATTTATTCATTTTTTCTGGGCCAATACTTAGTTTTTAGGCAGTGTTTATAATCAGGAAAATACATATTTATTAAAGTTGCATATATTATATAATGATTTTATTTACTTTTTTTCTTACCTGAAATCCCATCATACGTCCACCACTCCTCCCAACTGACTCCAGAAGTTACTGAAATCAAACACTATGTTAATACTTTTTAATGTTATCAATACAGTAAGTAGTATCTAGTTTATCATATGTTTATATAACTACCTAGGAAGACTATATACAGGGTGTATATGAATTCCCGCACGGGCTTAATATTTCATAAACGACAACAGTTAAATCTATAAGATTTGGTAAATCAACACAACACCTAAAAATCTACTTTTTTACGGAACTATCGATTTTCTGTTATATCATGGGGACGTCCCGCAAATAGCCAGAAGGAAGTCTTAAATAGGAGCATAGGTTGATTTGTACATTGAATTAAAGGTCTCTAATAGCAGGAAACAATGCCGCAAATTTGAACTCAAACGGACAACCTAGTAAAAAATGACAGCCATTAAAAGATTTCTTGTTTCTACCATTTTGAATCTTTAAACGGGTACAATTTTTTACTCAGATGTTCTTTTAGGCTCAAATTCGTGGCATTGTAATCTACCAATAAAGACCTTTAAATTGAAGTGCATATCGACCTATGCTTACGTTTAAGATTTTCTTTCGATTCCTAGCGGCTGCCCCTATAATCCGGAAATAGGAGGTCCCGTATAAGCATAGCAAATTCAATGAATTTTTGAACCGCTTTGACTCGGTAGTCCGTTTGAGTTCAAATTTGTGTATTCTGTTTTAAGGCCACAATAATTCCACAATTAATTAAGGCCACAATTTAATTCTGTTATAAGGTTTTAATTCAATGTAAAAATCAACCTATGCTCTCTTTTTAAGATTTCATTCTGACTAGAAGTATGTACACATTTATACACCTGATCAGTGAGTGAGTTACACATCGGGATTTATAGTTTTATAGCCAGATATTTATGAAATTAAAATGAAATTCAATTCAATACATATCGATTCGAATATTGGACGGACAATACATTCGTCAAGCTACATTTGTCCTTTGTCGGAGAGACTTTGGGCATAAACATTGCAGCAAGCGGCACGCCAAGCCTGTAAACTCGCCCTGCGGTGTATAAATATTGTAAGGGGGACAATTTACCCCACTCCACATACCCCCCCCCCCCACCCACACAACCCCTGACATGTGACCGCGCTTCGTTTGTAAATACCATTCTGATAAAACTGATTGGGTTTCATTCCACCTCTAAAATGATACCGGGTTTTCCATTTCATTGAAACAATTTTACCCGTGTTTTTAGTTGATTAAAACTGTTGTATTGTTTATAAACTATTTTTCCTGTTCAATGGTTTTAGTTTCAATGTTTATATTTGATCGCATTGTATCAGGTGATAATTTTAATTGTGTAACCATAAACTTGTGTATCGATAAAGTAGGCCTAAACACCACGTCTATCTCTAATATTATGTAGATAATGAGTGCTATTTGGGGCATGAAAGTGGAAGATTGTTGTGTAGTACGTCTAAAATAATCATAAACATTCCTTCAAAAGTTAGAATATGAAATTAATAATAAAGAATTAATTTTTTACTCTACATTTAAGTAAAAATTGCGTACAATTAATAAGAAAACTTACTCGGTTATGGTTACGCGTTTGAACCTTTGGCGGGAAAAATATGTTTTCCCAACAATGAGGTACGTTTTGGGTTCCGTGTTACGTCGGACTTTATTTATTTATAGAACGATCGTGTGTATTATTCTATCTGACGAATCCTGGATATCACCAAACAATACTTTTTCCCTACGACGCTAGACACGAGCCCGCGATTGTTTTTCACATTACTTCAGAATATTCCTAGGGGTTGCGACATTATCACTCAGATAAAATCCATTGGTAACCTGGTGGGATTTGAACCCGGGACCTCAGGGACCGAAGTACCGCACTCTAACAACTACACCAGCTCGCTCCCCCACCAAACAATATTAAAGTTGAGTACACAAAGTATCATCAATATATCTTTGTGGTAAATTAGTCAATTTACTAGATTAATCTTTGAGAAATTAGTCAATATAAAATTTGGCAAATGACCCTATTTGATATAGAACGATACAAAATTAATTTTACTATGATAACAATTTTTGGTGTGTGTTGTAGTAGTAAACTACAGCAAGCATTATTTAGGCCATGATGGATTTAAATATTAAAACTTATTCGACTATGGAGTAGATACTATTAAAGTTTTCTGTATCGTTTCGAATTAGTGGCTAATGCTGACTGATTTAAAATTCAAATTACAGCCTATTCTTATTCTATAGGGAATATTATCCAATTGTAAAAAATTTCTGGTAAAATGTAATTTAAAAGGGACCTTGCTCTACGAAAAAAATAAGGTTCACTATTCATCTTTTAAATTTGTTTACTTGAATAATAATGTCTACTTTTAAAGTGTATGTCTTATTTAACTCAAAGTTTACCTTGATATGAATTTGTAATGTACTTTATTTTCTCACAAAAATTTACATTATCGTAAAAAGTAATGAGAACGATAACTAAGCCGTTGTGGGAAGACCCATCATGCATATACATACTTAACTCAAACCCGGTTAGGAACTCAGCCTATGTGGAGTGATCACTTGAAGCCGCAGTGTTCCACAATAGAACGCATTGTTCATTGTTCTGCATTTAGTATTGTTTAGTGACTATCAAAGCAGGGATTTCGTGTTTAGCAGCAAATCATTATGTTCAACACCCTACCAGTTTCCATGGGTATTTGTATTGGATTAATTGGGACTTTACTCAAGTATATTACTAAAATTAAAGGTTACAGTATGCAATTTATTAGTTTTTAAGGAAAAAAAAATTATGTAAATTATTATAGTAGAGATTTTGTTACACTCAAAGATTACAATTGTATACTATAATAGTTCACCAACAAGGGAAGAAAAAATCAATTTAATATATATTTTTAAAGTTTTGGAAGAAAATACTTTTTGTCTGTCTCTTCATTTTCAAAATTACGGAATATTGAACATTCATTAGCCTATTTTAATTTATTTGCTAAATCAGCGGCTGCCCTTTTATAAGTGTGTAACAAAATCAACTAGGTTAATTTAATTTAATTTTAATTTTTAAGAAGTTAAAGATATTTCCGCCTTTAACCCATGGGTTACAACAATACAAATATTTGTCCACCAATTTTGGATTTTGAAAAAAAAACACAAAGATTTTATTTATTGAATATTATAGTATAACCAGTAGTAAAAAAGTAAAAAATGCTGTTATGTGAAACTTGTCAATGCTAAGAATCTAACTGAAACGGCTACTTAAAAAAAAAAAACGGGCATAGGTAAAACGTATTTTTAGGTTTGACACCTAAAAACTGTTAGGGTTGGGAAGAATAACGTTAAAAAATGCTTATTGGATTCTTATACTGATTGATTGATGCTCATAGTGATTGAATATAACAGTTAACACAGCAAACGTTCTTAACCAAGCATCGGCGACAGCTGAGCTGGCGTGTTGCTCGTAATCTCTTAATGGAGATTGTAAGCAAATCATTGTAATAGGTAGAATAGAGTGTGTGTACTGACTAAAGTGGTATTGCATGTGGGAACACTAGATCGTATTTGTATCTTCTTGGTAACTCTGCTGGCGCAATGATTTGTTTGAAGTGAACACCAAAACATTACCATGTCTGGGTATTGTTCCCTACATTACTGTATTCATATAAAAAAAGCATAGTTGAACAAATTGCTAATAGTAATTTGTAATATTGATATAATATCACAAAAGTAAAATCAACTCCCATTTTTAAACAAAAGTATGTATAATGATAGTTTTGTTGGGTATAATGAACTATTAACATTTTTGACCCTTCGCCACATGAGAACGAATTGTCCATAAATATTTTGCAACCTTGTTAATAGCATTCCAGTAAACTCGATCCTGTGGTGTGCCAAATGTATTATGGCCTTATTCAACGATGGTTCTTTTACATTGCAGAACCAATTATTTAGTTTTGAGAGAACATAAAATCCTGAACTGTCAAAGAAATCAAAATACATTCTGTATAATAACCTTTCATTCTAATCGATGGCTGGTTATCAATTATAATTTATAATTGATACTATAAATTAGATAGTTTGTGTAAAATTGTTAAGAAAAAAATATGGATGTGTAATTCTTATATTATTAAGTTTTCTTAGATATTAATTTAGCCTGCGAAGTTTAAATAATGTTACTGGTTCCTTTGTTTTGGACTTTATGACATGTAGAATATATTACTAAAGGGATACCATTATAATAAATAAAAAATGTACAAACACATCATAGAGCCTACGTACACTATAGGATTTCAATAAAAAAAATTATAATATTAATAAATTTATTTAACCATTCTAAGTACCTGGCCTGGTCATTCTACTTACTAAAAACACACAATTATTATTTAGAAAGTTAAGATGTGTGTTAAAACTATCAAACTTTAATCAAGAAATTCAAATACAAATCAAATGTTTTATCTCAAGTTTGTTATTGTTCAGTTCATTTGCTGTGCATTTGTAGTAATTTTTATGGAAATTCCTTATTTCTTTGGAGCAATTAAGTAAATAAACTGAAAATAAAAATGTTAAAGGTTGAAATTAACCCTTTAGTAGATTAGGGTTGGTTCAAAGTTTCCACTAGGCTCTTTTCTTACGTATGAATGTGTATAATGTTGGCACTAGTTCCGGAAGTGATTCGGATTCCTTCAAACACAATGTCTTATATAGCTGTTTTCTTAAAAACTCTGATAAAATGCTTGATGGTATTGCGTCGAACCTTTAACCTTCAATATTTCCCTATCCATACCTTTATTAATATAAATAATAAAATACCCAATTTGAAACCTATTATACTGTGTATAACTGCACTCTTAGGTACTAATGTATGACGATTAATATAGTTTATACCTCTTTAAATCTCAAATCTTTGTTTGTAAACAACAATGCATTAAAAAGCGTAAAAAACAGAAATAAAATTAAAATACACTACCTATAATTACCATCCAGTAATGGAAGGCACTGAATGCGGTGTATAAACTGTATGGTGTTCATAAAAACCAGATAC